CAATCACAACAAAAAGGTTTCTTGATTCACATTTTCAATACATCTGAAAGATGCTTATACTAATTAATGTGAGATCAAACAAAAAAATTAGTTGTTAATGAAGTGAGTTAAAACTATAAGAGAATCATCTGATTTATATTTGGGAGGAATTCAAAAATAATCAGATTTACAAGTGGTCATTCAAAAATAGCCACAGTTTCAAAAGTAATCGAAATTTAGCCACTTTTTATATAAAGATAAATCTGAACGAAAATACTATTTAAAATTTGAAAAAATACTCCAGTATAATATACTGGAGTTCCAGTATAATATACCGGTCTAGCATAATATACTGGAGATTGGAGCGTCGGTGCTTCAATCTCCAGTATATTATACTAGAGTTTACCACGTCTTGGAGTTCCAGCATAATATGCTGGAAGTTCATACACAGGTGCACCGATCTCAAGTATATAATGCTGGAACTTTTCGTGTTGCAGCAAAATAGTTGCTATTTTTCTATGACTTCGCAAACGCTGGCTATTTTTGAATGGCCAGTTCGAAAACTGGCTAGCCCGTACTATTTTTACTTTATATTTGCACAAAAAAAAAGAGCAAATAAAGAAGGGCTATTATCACTTTTAGTATTTACATTAGGTAGCCGAAAAGTGTATATACAAAAAATATAGAGTACATTTTTTGTACTATTATTTTGAGAGTGACAATACAATATCATTTTTTCAATAAAAAATTTTTTACCTTCCTATACCATATATGAAACCTTATTACCCTCAATGTTTAAGGTTTGTGTTAATTACATTTCAGCATACCAAATTACCATTATATACCATAATTCAAATTAGGGGTATAACTAATGCTTCATTTATATTAGGTGTTAATTTAGGAGCGTATATTCTCACATTTACCTTTACCCGCCTCTCTCTCCTCCCACACCCCACGTTTTACCTTCACTACCTCACGTTTACCATCAGTTGTCCTCTACAGACCCACGATTCTACAATTTTTTCTCCATTTAATTTCACAAAATCCCAATTTGAAGTTCCATCTGATTCAAGTTGAAGTAATCTTTCTCCCAAATCATGAAAAACATCAACACTCCCAGTGAGAGAGAAACAAGAGGATGTTAGGAAAAGAAGAATCGAACACGGTGTTGACGTTGCTCAAAGCCGGGGATCATCAGCCCTTCGATCAAATCGTCGCCAACTTTGCCTCCAGCTTCCCTCCCCTCGCCAATTTTCTGCTTGCATCTCTCTCACCTTAATCCTTGACGTAAATCTCACTCGCCAATAATCTTCAAACTATCTACATTGTGTGAAGACTCAATGTAGTTATTGTATATAAATTTTGTAGCTTTTTATCATAATTTTTAGATGTTTACCTCCAAGTTCTATGTAATATTTGTATATAACTGTCAATTGAATATAAATTACACAACAAAAAATAAGAAATAAATACTCCAATCGTAGAAATGTATTATCCACAATTAGTCTGTAAATTGTCTACAAAATTTTACAAAAACTACAAATTAACTACATTTAACCTACATTATAACTACAATCTGGAAACAATTTACACATGGAAGTTCTTCAAGTTGGAATTGGCCACAACTACATTTCTTGTTTTCTAGACACACAATGTACCGCTTCACACCATCCAACACAGTATGTATATGATCTGTTGAAGCCCTCACCTACATTTTCAGAACAAACACAAAGAAAAAAAATTTACAATATTAAAAATATAGTATCTAAAATATATCTACATTTTATCTACAATTTATCTACACATTAACTACAAGCTACAAGTAAACTACAATTTGCCTACAATTTATCTACAATCTGGAGACACTGTATATTAAAATATTTTTTTCCTGCACCAAATAAAGAACTTGTAGTCAAATTGTAGATATATGTAGTAAATTTGTAGATAATATCATAAAACTAAAATTCTAAGCATTTTCGAACTACACAAACCTGCATTCTCATCTACCACAATGGCATCAACTTCAAAATCTCTAAATCTGCCATAGTTATCCCAATTCCCATTCAATTTTAGCATTATTGGGATTTTTGACATGATTTCGTGTAGTTGAGAGAAAAAAGAGGAAGAACAGATATAGGTTCGACAATTTGAGTACTGAGGACGATGAAGAACAATTTTGAGTTCTACAATTTGTATTGCGTTGTTGAAGCTTCTGAAGCTCTACGTTGTTATTGAATTGTAGTGAAAGAGAGAATTACGCAGCAATCAGATCTCTTTCCGTTTCAAATTTCGAATTTAATGTGGAAAGAATCAAACGCAGATTTTGTGCCTTTTTTTCGTGCGTTTTAAATGGCAGAATCTACCTAATTATGGATTGGTATATAAATTGTAGTTAAAGTGTGGACTGGGCGGGTAATTAACAAATTATGCACATTTTTGGTAATAAGGTTTCATATATAGTATAGTTAGGAAAAAATCCGAAAAAGAATCCCCCGTCTGACCTAGGTGACTGATTGAATCCTTCTACTAATGGGGACAGACTCAAGTAGAAAAATTAGTTTATTTTCTCTCCTTACTTTTAAAGAGAGAGAAAAAAAGAAGAAGAAATAATTATCTCTTCAAGACCGAGTATGTAATAGACTATTTTTTAAAAACAAGAGGAGACCATCATGTGTTATAACAGCTTGAAGAATTATTTTATTTTTCTCATTAGAAAATAAAAATAAAATATTTTAGGCCTTTATAAATTACCTTTTAATACAAATGAACTTCCTAGGCAGAGACACCATATTTAAAGTTGTTTGTTACGGATTGTACTTGGAAAGAGGCATTACAATGATGATAGCAAAAATAAAAAGCTTCCAACTCTGTCCATTTTAGAACATTTCCACATGCTAGAAGGGACCAATCTCACTTAGCAGCATTGCATGTGGTTTTCTGTGCATGTCTTCTTTTATGTGTCTCTATTTGTTAGTGAGTGTTTGTGTGTACGCGTGGTGACGTACACAAGATTTTTTCGTAAGCGCTATCGATTTATCATATATATATTTATACATAATATTATATGTATAGTAATATTTTTTTGACGTGAAATTGTGTCCAATAACACCACTTATTTCTGTGTGCCTTCGAGCTCGTTTGGTACGAAAGACAAGTGTTAATTATAATCTCGGAATAAAATTTGAGATAAGTATATCCTACGCTTGGTTGGGATAGAATTGTGGTATAAATAATACCTGGATTAGTTATCCCGAGATTGTAGTGTTATTTTTATTCCTATGTGAGGGTGGGATAACTAATCCTGGGACAATTAATCCTGAAATATCTTTTTTCCAATTAAACGACCCCTAAAAGTGTCTTGGGGGGAGGGGGAGCACCTACTGGTATTTTTGCACAATATTTTGCCGGTTGTCTCGTTTTGGCTTAGTGTAAATGACCCTCTTTTTATTTTTAAATCACTGTTTAAAGATTCCTTTTGAGCAAACTAAAATTTTTATGAGAAAGGTTAGACCAAAATTTTTTGTAAGTTATTGCAAATATTAGTCGACAGTCTAATATTTTCTTAATAAAGTTGAGCAATATATGAGAAAATATTAGACTCGAGTCTGATATTGTCCGAAAACATAATGTTTTAAGGGCTATATTTGCATAACCTTTT